AAAGATTTCATCACAATTTTTTCTTCATTTTAATTTCTTTTTTCCTTTAACCGGTCCTTCTTTATGTGAAAACTATGACTAATACATAAGTTCGCTCATTTGATGTTTTTAGGCTTTCAAGCGTTATTTAATGTTGTCTGCTCACTCAATCATGGCGTTATTGTTACTTTTTCAGGTATGCCTTACATAAAATGAAAACAAAAAAGGGATTTCTTTGTGGTGGAACCCCAATAAATACTCTACTAGTGGAGCACTGTTTTTTTTTTTTTTAAATCATTGGATTACTTTTTCAATGGCGCAAGAGCAATTTTATGTCGTGCGCTGTAAATATTTAATACGGACCTGTACCAATTTAACCGTTAAAAAACTAACCCAACAGTTAAAATAGCAGTTCCACCATAAATAATCCCAAAAAATAAAGTACAAGTAAAAACTCTCTTATTATAATTTAACTTCTTTTCTTTGATTTCTTTCAGGCGAAAAAGTTGAACAAAGCAAATTATGTCAAGGTAAATATTATAAAATGTACACCTTCGACTACTCTACATGTTAATTGATTGAGTGATAAGCTATTGATATTTTGATCATATTTTTTACTTTTATCGTGTGTATGCAGGAAGCAAGCGCAAAGTTTTATCAATTCCTCTGGAACCTTCTTAATTTAGAGTTTCTCTTATTTCCTTTCATGTAACGAAATAGTTGCCAGTTAATTATGCGTTTTCCCCTATAGACTAGGGTGGGGTAAGGAATTAATTGAGTTGTGTGCAATATTTTTAAGATATTATCATTTTGTTTCTTTTAATTTTGAATAAAGGCATTCAAGACAAATGTTATAATTGTGAGTTTATGTCATCTCTTTTAATTTTGAATAAAGGCATTCAAGACAAATATTATAATTGTGAGTTTATGTCAATAGTATAGTAGTACCTTAGATAATTAAATTGATTCAATCGTTCATGTAAGATGTATATATTGAAGATATATTTTTACTGCTCTCTTTCGTTTGATATATACACCAGTAAGAGAAGATATATAATTACCAAAAGCAAAACTGCGTTGATAATTATATACATAAGCATTGGATAAGATAATTTCCCGACCCCAAAAAGGCATTGTTGCTTCATAGTATGGTTAAAATTGTTTCAATAAGTTAAAAAAGAAAAACGTATTTTAATAGAATACATCTTAAGATATAATAATACAAAGAAATACATCAAGCAAAAGGCGGTATCCAAAAGGGAAAAAGAGACGAAAATGTCTGGTTACAATAAAGCTAGAGACAAAGATGAAATGTTCTAATCAAAATGTTTGTTTTGGTCGAGTATCATACATATATAGATAATTAGAACATGTATAAAAGACAAATATTTTGACGACTATACCATGCCATTAAAAAACAGTGCTCCACTAGTAGAGTATTTATTGGGGACACAACCAAATTTTGACGACTATACCATGCCATTCAATTACAAAAATTGTAGTGTCATTGATTCAGTCCTCTTCTTCGACAAGCCAACCAAATTTTGACGACTATACCATGCCATTCAATTACAAAAAATAACATCAACTTACTATTATTTTTCATTAACGGTAATAGGATAGATTCTCTGCTACAATTGACAATCACTTTATATTTCAATGGGGACACAACGCAAATCTTACCACAAACTCTCACCCTACTGGTAGGAAATTTCAACGCCCCCTATCATTGACATGAATTTGTTTCTTTTATGACTTTTATCGCAGGTTCTATTTGTTTTATCCCTATATTTTATAATTTGTTTTGCTCAAAAGGTTGATTTTTCTTTTGTTTTGGTTTTTCTATTCTCGATTCCTCTTCTTCTTCTCCCTTTTGATTTCCAGCAAGATTTTTGTTTTTGGTCACACTAGTCTTGAACACGCGTTCGGCGCTGCGTGATTTATTTAAAATAATTGTTATATTAATTGTTTAAAAAAAGAGAAAGAAGAAAAAAAAGACAAATTTAACTTCTTTTATTGTGCTTTAAATTAACATTTTTTTATTTTGTTTCATTTATTTGTATTTATTTGGTGTTATTTTATTTTATTTTAATGTATTTTTGTTTAATTTTATTTTTTATTCAAATTCTTTGTAGTATTTTTATTTGAAGAGTATTGAAAATTTGGAACAAAATGGTGTTAAAATAGACAAAATCAAGCCATAAATCAGTTCAAAATAAATAAATAAGCATAATAAATAACAATAATTAAAAAATTAAATCATAACTTATTTGGGTCATCTGATTAAGATCATGGATGTATAAAATTTGGGGTTACTCTGTGTGACACCCCTTATACTATCTCCCTAAACCTTATCTAGTACTAACCCTAAGAATGTGCCACAATAATAAACCTTCACTAGTTGCTTACGCGGAAATTATGGTATTTCAAAAATTTTCCTTAAATAAGACTCACTCAACATACCATTCCTTTCAAGTTATCTAGCCATGCATATAAATATTCCGTCATTCAAGGTTTATGAGTTTGATCACAAAATATATATATATATATATATATTCACAATCCCAAAAATAGTATATGCGCAGTTTCTTCGGTATATCCACATGTACAGCGATCAGCGAAGCCAACTCCCCTGCTCACTACTCTGCCTTGTTCGTGCCTTTACCTATAGCACAGAGTAAACTTTAAAGAGCTATAGGCTCAGTAAGTGGACCTACAATTACACAATCCATTTTTAACATACGCATGCATCACCACATCCTAGATAACCAATGCCAATCAATTCTTACACTCTATGCACGTGCACTATATATATCTAGGGTCCTCCCGATACTGCCGCTGACTTTTTCACAATCTGGCCACATGCCAATTTCTCAACTCACAATATCAGGTTCCCCGTCATCACCCACCTGGCTCGAGGGAATGTCGAGAGCATTCAAATTCACAATTTCACAATATCATAATATAGTCTCTGTCATCACCCACCTGACTCGAGAGACTTGCGCGGCTCAATCACAATCTCATCAATCGCCATATCACAATAATTAAGCAATTTTATCAAACACAATTTCACAATATGAGTCCTTTGAGGACTTGGCAATACCGGCCTATCATGCATGCTATCATGTGCTCAATCACAAACAATTCAACAATCATCGTGATGCTCCACTATGTGTACAATATACTAGCACAAGCATGACTCCACAAAATATACACATTGACAATGTCGCAAAAATTCACATAATATCATACTAGTCATTCCATAGAAAGTCTATCAAATAAAGTTTACAAGTGCTATAGAGAAATCAAACTCTACTTACTTGAGTTGCTTAAAAAAATCTGAGTTTAACTCTCTTCGCATCCCTTGTTCATTTTTCTTTCTACTGTCCAAAATAGACAAATTGGTTTTTGTTGTTTAAAGCTCAATAGCTCAGCCATAAATGAATTTCTTACTCATAATCATATTTCCCTGAAAACTGTAAATTCACATATTCGTCGATATTGACGGGAAAATTCATAAAATGTTTTCTAGGTCGCCAAAAATTATAAAATCAACTCCAAAAGAAAGTAGACATGTATATCTTTCCAATGAGCTATCATACATCTAAATCCAAGCTCTCTAAGTACCTCAAAAACAGTTCTCTAGAAATCAAAATTCTGATTTTTCTATTTTTGACAGCTTTTGAAAAGTTTCTACATGAAACTTCCAATGCGCAGAACTCGGGCTACAAAACTCAAAATGAGATTATTCTAACTCTCACATATCACTAATAACATGTTCTAAATGGTAGTAATGGTGGGTACAGCAATCCTATTTCAAAAATTAGGAGTCTCAGTTCTTTGTTTTATCAATTTCAAGAAAAGATAGATTTTGACAACTATTATGAAAATAAGTATAAAATATTCTACATAGCCCCAAAAATTATAAAATCAATGCCCAATCGAAGTAGATGTCTAGGACTTTCCAAAGAGCTATCATAAACTTAGTTTTAGGTCTTCTAAAGCCCCTAAAAACATATCACACCATATCAAAACGTGCTGATTTTTATGTAGAATTTTTAGAAAACATACTTCATTTTAAAAATGCATAACATGAGCTATAATGGTCAATTTGAAGTGATTCTTACGGCTATACGAAACTTAGGATTTCTAGTTTAAGACCCTAATAAAATAAACTTCAAAAACTCATCAAGAAAGTACAGTTTTATACTTTTCTTTGGGTTGCTATTAGGATCCTCATCAAAACCATACTCATTAAACCTAAAAAAGGCTATGAACATGACCAAAATCCACATAACACACAAACCTCTCAAAGAAAATCCGGACTAACATGTCTCTAAGCAAACTTTGACTTAGCTTTAAGAAGGGGAAAACTCAAGGTTTATGATTCCAACAAGAAAATCAAAATTTAACATGAAACTCAAGAAATTAAGCCACAAAACAACCAATTTTCAGATTTAAAGGAACAAGGGAGAAAAATCCCACCTCTTTGATCATGAAAACCACCTGTAAAACTTCAAGGTTCTACAAATTCATTCTCAAACCGAGTTACCCAAGGAATTTTGAGGAAAACCCTTTGTTTTCTAACTAAATCAAAGCTTTTTTTTTTAGAGAGAAAGAGGTGAGAGGGAACGGGAGATGAGAAAGAGAGAGTAAGGGCCCATTTAGTTCGCGAATTTGAGTTTTTAATTAGAGTTGAGATGTGACTTTATGTGAGAGCTTTTTACTGTAGCAAAAAAGTTAGATGTGACTGTTTCTGAGAGCCGTTTACTGTAGCAAAACTCGAATCGATGAAATGAACGAGGCCTAAGAGTGTGAAAGGGAATGAGAGAGAAGAATGGGTGAGAAAGAGAGACGTGAGGGAGGCGAAAAGAGTAGATCTATTGTAGATTTTTTTTCTAAAATTGAAATTTAGCCCCTCTATTTTAAAAAAAAAATTTATAATTTAGTCCTTGAGCTCTTTTAGAATTCTGAACAAAATTTTATAGTAGATCATTGGCTCTGTTAAGTCATAATTAAACTCACACCTTCATCGTTTCTCTTACCATTCTTCCATACAAAATTAGTAGAAAATTTGAGTCCGAAAGTTGGGACGTTACACTCTGTGTGTGATTTGCTTGGTGTTTTTGTAATTTGGTGCTGCAAGGAAGGTTGCCGCCGAGAGGGGCTAGGCTGCAGGTGGAATTTTGGGGTTATTTTGGTTTAGGTTAGGGTTATGATTAAGTTTTAGGAATTTAATTTGGGGTTGATATTTGACAATTTTTTGGTAAATACTGTATATACTTGAAAATAACTTATTTGTTAGAGGTTTGAATTTGGTAAATGTTGCATTTACCTGTAAATATTTTAATAATTATAATTTTAAATATTGTAAATACTATATTTACCTATAAATTCTTTAGTATTTGCAATTTGGAATCTTGTATTTATAATTATAAGTAAATACAATATCTACCAGTGAATACAGTGTTAAACGGTCGCCAGAGTCGGTGGCCGGATTTTCAAATAATATGATATTTACTAGAAAATAATGAAATTTATTAGTAAATACAGTAAATACAGTGTTAAACGATCGCCGGAGTCGGTGGCCGGATCATATAAATATGATATTTACTGATAAATATGGTATTTACTATTTACAATTCCTTATATAGGAGTTTGCTAATATCTCATGATTAAGATCATTCTATATATATGATCATTGTTAAATCCAATTCGAATTTCTATACTTAACCGAAATTATTGAAAATTCAAAACCATGTCTTGTCCCAATAATAGCATTGCTCAATTCTTAATAAGAATGACATGTATTAATAATGTTTTAATTAAATATTTTAAATTTTTAATTAGATTTATCACGAACACATTTAGATTATTATGTTTAAATATTATCTTCTT